AGTTTAACGAAACGGTCTTATGTGGTGGAGTAGCACCCGCTTCTTCAACTCGTGATTCCCCTTCTTCTTCTTCTTCTTCTTCTTCTTCTTCTTCTTCTTCCACTCGCCTTTATCCCAATACACCACTCATATGTATGAAATGCTTGTCTGCATGCGCCTTGCCCATACGCTACAGTTTTCCTTCCGTGAGGTTAGTTGCACGGAGACAACAGTTCTGAAACTTGTATCTGGAAGTAATTGCGGTTAGATGCACCGAACCCTTGTTGTAAAACCGGTCTTTCGTTTTAGGCATATTAGGATGAAAACCGAAATCTTGCGAAGCCTACCAGCATTTCGTTTTAGGCATATTAGGAGGTTGCCATATTCTCAGAAACTGGATTTAGTTCTTTTCTGAAAATCGCATCTCTACTCTATTTCGCAAAAAAAAATTTCAAAATCGTATTTTTGTGAAAGCCGAAACTTTGCTGAACCTGGCCTAGATCTCGCTCATAGTACTCTTCTGACATGCCTCACTCATAGCAGATTGACAGATATATAAAAAAAAAAAGGGGGGGGGGGGATCCTCTTCTTTTATTTTTTATTTTATTTTAGTCTGTTGATTAGGACCGGGAGGAAAGTATAGCTGGTTTGGTTACCTACCTGCGTTTTCCCTCCCACCCATCCCTGTGCCTGCATTCCCGGTTTCGTATAGTGCCACGTCAACAACAGTGCCACGTCAACAACAGTGCCACGTCAGCAACAGTGCCACGTCAGCAGTGCTACGTCAGCAACAGTGCCACGTCAGCAACAGTGCCACGTCAGCAGTGCCACAGTGCCACGTCAACAGTACCCCGCCACCATGACGGGCTCAGTTCTGGGCATGCCAGGCCAACTGGCCAACGAGTCCATTGTCGAGTACCGACAGCGTTTCGAAGCTTAGCTCGCACTGATTGAGGCTGAGGAACAGCGTCAGGCGGCAGCCGAGGCTGCCCGCCTACAAGCTGAAGCGGCGGCAACAGCTGAGAAGCAGCGGCTTCAAGTCGAAGCAGAAGCAGATACCCAGGCACGCCGCAAGGAGGCCCAGGATCTGCTACAGCAGCATGAAGCCACCAGCATCGAAAATCTCAAGTTCTGGCATTTTGAACCATCTGAGCAGCACGACGACGCGACACCGGAGGAGCAGCACAAGGAGTTCCTCGCCAAACTCGTGACCCGGTTGGTTTACACTTGTAACCACCTACAGTCCGAGCTGGCGAATCTCTGACGGGCGGCGCGGAACCACAAGGATCTGCACGAGGATGCTACACGGGCACTTGATTCCCGTGTACAGAACTTGGAGCAATCTGCACCAAGACTAGATGTTGGCGAGTCCAGCAGTGCACCCTCTACCCGCCAATCGGAGGAACGAGTTGACCACGTCGTCGCAATGCTCGGCGACATCAGCACCTTCGCTGCACCAGCCACCATCAACAAGCAACTGGACACCTTGAAGACCGAGGTTCAGTAACTACACCAGCTGCCCAACAAGGATGGCAACACCGCGCAGCACTACAAGATGCCGACATTCCGCATCGAAAAGTTCGATGATTATACACATCAAGACCCGGTCCCCTGGTGGGAGGGCTTTACGACGGAACTTCGGATTCGTTTCGTCCCCGAGCGCTCGTACATCGGCGCGTTGTTCCTCAACTCAAAGGGCGGATGCCAGATCTGGCTTAGCCACCTGGCAACCATCCACGGTCTCGACGTCGCAGATCTGCACACAAAGATTCCTTGGGTAAATCTGACGAAGCTATGGAAGAAGCGGCTCATCGTGGACGACGCCCCGACGCTCGCCGTCAACCGCCTCTTCGCGATGACGCAAGGCAACACACCGACACGCGTCTGGCTCACGGAATGGCAAAAGATCGCGACGACGCCCGATCTCGAATTACCATTTTCGCATCTGCGCCGAGAGTTCTACAACCACTCATGTGCCGCCTTGAGCCTTGCACTTGGTGATCGCGAGCAGTACGCGACCTTCGCCGAAATCATCAACAAGGCAAGGGAGATCATCAAGACCAAGAGGGCGGCTGCACACGAGAAGTTGGCATGGCAGCCAACCTATGTGGAGAAAGGAAAATTTGGTCCGCGTCCGCAGCATGTCGCTGCAGTCCACTCAGACAACATTGTGGAAGACTCGGCAGCCACCCAAACATCACGTGAGGGAGATCAGGTGGCTGCTGTCCAACCGCGAAGCAACAACAACTCTCGAGGAAAAGGGAAGGCGAAAATCGCATCGTCGGCCGGAAATGGATAGCCAGCACCTTGGGTCAAGTTTCACTTGACCGAGGCCGAATACAAGTGGCGAGGCCGGTATGGCTGTTGCTATTGGTGCAACAGCACCAAGCACAAGACCTCGCAATGCCCGGATCAAGGCAAGGAGGATGTTCGGCCTCGCATCAACTCGGGAAACTGAGTTGCGCGGGAGGTGAGGCGACTCCACCTCTCACTCCGCCAGATTCGGCCACCTTGCTAGCGGCCTCCTACACATCTGAGGAGGATGCGAATGTCGCAAGTCCTCGGTTTACTTACGAGGATTATGTTGTCCACTTGGTCCCACCGTTGGACCAACCACTCCACGTGCAACAATCCACCGCATGCACAGTTTCACTACCATCGGCAACCGATTCGGCAATTTCGCTGTCATCTATCGTCGGGGATTCGACGACATGGTCAAGACCTGAAGAGCTCGACCCGTTGACGTTTGCGGACTTCCAATGGATGCCCCTTCCCCCGTCCGGTCGATTGCCGAAACCGCATTGCAACGTACTCATGGCGCAATTGCGGGATTACTTGCACACTGCAGTACCAACTCCGTTGATGGACGCCGGAGTAGAGGTTGTCGACCTTCACGCGTACATTGCGAAGATCGACCGCGAGTTCAAGACACAACGGTACGACGACATCGACGCGCCATTGTTGTACATACGCATTCAGATCGGAGAGGCGACCTGCAACGCTTTGATCGATTGCGGAGCTACTTGCAACTACATGAGCCAAGACTTTATGGTATGCGCTGGCCTTGGGCCACGCGTTCGGAGGAAGTCGCAGCTCACGCAAGTCACGTTGACCGACGGTCACACGCACAAGTCAATCGACCGGTGCATTGATGTCGTCCCCGTGTACTTTGCCCCGCATGCAAGCGAGGCCGTGTCCTTCGATATTTTGGACACCAAGTTCGACATGATCTTGGGCATGTCATGGCTGCAAAGCGAGGACCACCCGGTGAACTTCTACTGCCGCACCGTTCACATTCGTGATCGGAACGGAGTACTAGTCTCATGCACGGTGCCTCCTCCTCACCCTTCGATCAGTTGCCACACGGTGTCCGCCGCTAGCATTCGAGCTTCCATCATCCGGGATGACATCGAGGAGATGGGGGTGTGTTTTCTCCACGCCCTCCCGCCCCAAGACATTCCATCGACGGACTCACCACCGGACCCACGCATCACCGAGTTTCTCGACGCCTACAGCGACGTGTTCGAAACACCACACGGAGTAGTACCCGATCGGCCCATCCGCCACGAGATCATCCTCGAGGACGGGGCCGTACCTCCGCGTGGTTGCATCTACCGCAAGAGCGAGAAAGAGTTAAGTGTGCTAAGGGCACAACTCGACGATCTTCTCGAGAAAGGCTGGATTCGGCCTAGCTCTTCGCCATACGGTGCTCCCGTTCTCTTCGTCCGGAAGAAGAACAAGGAGCTGCGGTTGTGCATCGATTATCGCAAGCTCAATGAGCAAACCGTCAAGAACGCCGGCCCTCTTCCGCGCATCGACGACCTCCTCGAACGACTGGGCGGCGCCAAGTTCTTCTCCAAGCTTGACCTCAAATCGGGATATCACCAACTCGAGATCCGGCAGGAGGACCGCTACAAGACCGCGTTTAAGACGCGATATGGATATTTCGAATGGCTGGTTATGCGTTTTGGTCTTACGAATGCCCCGGCCACATTCCAAGCGGCTATGACAACGGAGTTTCGACACATGCTGGATAGATTCGTATTCATCTACCTCGACGACATCTTGGTGTACAGCCAGAGTTTGGACGAGCATGTGGAACACCTGCGCACCGTTTTGGAGCGGCTACGACAAGCCAAGTACAAAGCCAACCGCGACAAATGTGAATTCGCGCGGCAAGAGTTGGAGTACTTGGGACATTATGTGACGCCGCAAGGCATCCGTCCGCTTGCGGAAAAGATCGAGGCCATCCGCGTATGGCCCGAGCCCACCAACACCACGGGCGTTCGTTCATTCATGGGGTTGGCGGGCTACTATCAATGCTTCATCACCGAGTACTCAAGGATTGCCGCACCTATGACGAGATTACAATCGCCAAAGGTGCCATTCGTATTCGATGACGATGCACGCCGGTCATTCCAAGCACTCAAGACGGTCATGCTCATGGCACCCGTCCTTAGCATTTACGACCCCACCCTGCCAACGAGAGTGATAATCGACGCTTCCGGCTATGGCATTGGGGCAGTCTTGGAACAACACGACGGCGACAACTGGCACCCTGTGGAGTATTTCAGCCACAAAGTGTCTCCCATCAATTCACTTGATGATGCAAGGAAGAAGGAGTTGCTCGCGTTCGTGATGGTTCTCAAGCGATGGCGACATTTGCTCCTTGGGAGTCGAAGGTTCACATGGGTCGCGGACAACAACCCATTGACCTACTACAAGACGCAGGATACGGTGAGCAGCACGATCGGACGATGGATGTACTTCATCGACCAGTTTGATTTCACACCGAAACATCTCCTCAGCCTCTCCAATCGCGCAGCAGATGCACTCTCGCGCAGACATGATCTTTGCGCTATGACACATCATGCTTTCGCATTTGACGAGGAACTCCAGCGACACTTCATACGGGGCTATGAGTTTGATCCGGATTTCGCCACGTTGTATGTGCAACTATCTTCGGATCACCAGTCGGCCAGCCACTATCGCATCATCGACGGGTACTTGCTCCTCCACTCGAGAGGCAAGGACTTATTGTGTGTCCCAAGCGACCGTCGTCTTCGGACTCGCCTTCTCGGTGAGTACCATGACTCGCGACTCACTAGCCATTTTGGAATCAATCGCACTATTGCACGACTTCGGCAACGATTCCGATGGCCTGACCTCATTACCGATGTCACTCGGTATTGCGACTCTTGTGAAGTTTGCCGGCGAAGCAAGCCCTGCAACCGCAATCCCTACGCCTACGGCGAGTTGCGCCCGATGCCTATCCCACAGGAACCCGGCCTCTCCATTGCCATGGACGTCACCGACCCGTTTCCCCGCAACCGGCTCGGGCACGACGACAACCTCACGGTCGTTGACCGTTTGAGTAAGTATGCGCAATTTCTTCCTTGCAAGTACTACGCCACGGCGTCCGAACTAGCGCGCCTCCTACACACCAGCCGGATTTGCAGCCATGGCGTGCCGGAAGACATCGTCAGCGACCGCGACACTCGCTTCATGTCGGCATTTTGGACTTCTCTCATGCAGGAATCTGGCACGAAGATGAAACCAAGTTCGGCTCGGCATCCACAAACGGACGGGCAAACGGAGCGGGCACATCAAACCGCTCAAATGATGCTTCGTACGCTCATCCGTCCGGATCAGAAGGATTGGGTTGACCGCCTCCCTGACATCGAGTTTGCCTACAACGCTTCGTTGCATCCGGCGATCGGCGTAACTCCATTCGAGTTGCACCACGGTGGCCGGAAAGGCCGTATCCTCGCTGATCTTCTCCTCCCACGAACAGCCGACATAGACGCTGCCTGCTCCCCCGCTTCCATTCGGAAGTATAGGGAATTGCTGGCTCAAGCTCGCGCGAACATGCAAAAGGCTCAAGTCCACATGCAGCAGCAAGCCAACAGGCATCGCGTGCCATGTCCCATCCGCGCCGGTGATCTGGTGTGGGTCTCCGCGGAAGAGTTTGCACTCGAACAGGATGTTTCACGCAAACTGCTTCCCAAGTGGTTTGGACCATGGCCAGTAACATCATCCGCGGGCGATGAGCCCGATGGCCCCTCATTTGTGATCAACATTCCCCCGCATCGGATGGTCCTTCCAGTCTTTCACGCCTCGAAGTTGGCAGCATATACACCAGCCAAGAGCGACGACTTCCCGGGTTGAAGATCGCAAGATCCTCCATCTATGGATGGTCATCAGGAGGTTGACCGCGTCATCACGGATCTCAAGTACGGCAGCAAGCCTCGAAAGTACAAAAGTTACATTCAAAGCATGCGATCCCGACGACACTCGGTGGATTTCAGGAACATATTTGAAAGCATCCGCACCGCTGATCTACGCTCACTACGAGCGACAAAGGTTAGCTCAGGGAACTTCACGACCTGCCCCTCCCACCCGGACTGTGGTCCTTCCCTCAGACAGACAGCTTCGCCCTCGCAGGTAAGCTCGGTCTTTCAAGGAGGGGGGGCTGTGGCATACTGCGCAGCCACACGGGCCTGCAGGGCTTGTCCCGCAGTCTCAGCCTAAAAGCCTAGAAAAAAGGGCTTATAGGCCCCGTGTCGTTTCAGCCTGAAAGACTGAAAAACGAGGGTTTGCATGCCCTATGTCGTTTCAGCCTAAAACAGGGCCTTTCAGGCCCTGAGTCTTTTCAGCCTGAAACCGAGGGCCACTTTCGGGCCCTCATAAGATCGACCTGCCCTAACACTCAGGCACCGAACCAGGGTTTCGGAACAGGCTATTTTTGGTTTGTTCCCACGTCAGCCTCAGCAGGAGCTGCAGCGGCAGGCCCTGACTCACTTCGGCATTGGCAAGAGCAGCCTCCTGGACTGACCCGCCCTGCAGCTGCAGGCAGTCAGGAGGCAGGCTGAGTAGTACATAGGGAGTTCACATGCACTTCACGGGCAGTCAGAGGCCGAGGCAGTAGTAGTCTTCAGGATTCGGCAGCAGCACTCTGGAGGAGCGTTGCAGGAGTAGCTTAGCGCTAGCAGTAGTCTTCAGCGCTGGGCGCTAGTAGCAGTAGGAGTAGTCTTCAGCGCTGGGCGCTAGTAGAGGTAGAGGAGGTGAGAGAGAGAGATGGTTGGCGGAGGTCAGGGAGACTTACTTGTGGCGCCATAGCTCCAGCTTCATCTTCAAGGTACCTGCATCCAGGCGCCAACTTCACAGGTTAGTACCGGACAGAGAGAGAGAGAGAGTTCTTCTTCTTCCTCTTCTAAGTCCACCATCTCTTCTTCACCCTCTCACTACCTGACTTCTCAGTATCAACGGACTACGACAGAGAGAGAGTTGTGACTTGAGACTTGACGACATTGGATCCAAACTCGACATTGGGATTCAGACATTTTGACGAGGGACTATTTGGGCTTGTGCCGAAGACTTGGTGTTGACAACATTCCCATCTTCCCCTCTTCTTCGTCTAACCCCCCTCTTCTTCGTCTGTGTATGGTTGGGGACTGACACATTCTTCCTGTGTGAGCGCCAGGCCCCTTCACACCATGGAGTGATGATGATGATGTATGTTCGGGGTTGCATTGCAATATTGATTGTTCGGATCATTGGTATCTAAGTCTTCCGCTACGCTATCTTGTACTTCGTGAGAGAGGTCGGTTCTTGTTCTGGTCTGCACCGTTACAGTATGCAACACTGTTACTGTTCAGATACGTCCAAGGAAACAGCCTGTTTGAAAATACCTGTACTTGAAAGAAAGAAAAGAGGGGGGGGTGTAAAGGAAGAATGGTTACTTCAGCCTAGAGGCTTAATGCATTTTCTCATCCTATCGATGGAAGTAGCCTCTCTCAATCTGTCTGCGTGCATGGCTGGAAAACTCTCTCTCTCTCTCTCTCTCTCTCTCTCTCTCTCTCTCTCTCTCTCTCT